TTGTCCTTCTCCTAGACTAGTTTCCATCCAAGGCTATAGAACCCAGTCTGTCCTGCTATTTTTGTTCTGTTCCTTTTAACCCATTGCTGGAGGGGAGAAGAAGAGGATCTACACCTTTCCCAAAGATATTAACACGTAAGTGAATGTAATGGATTCGACTGGAATTCGAATATATATATATATATATATATATATATATATATATATATATATATATATATATATACGTGGTCTGTTCGAAAAGTAACGGAACCGGTGTCAAAAAATAATTTATTTCAATTTCAAACAACAAACTATATGGATTACCCTTCAAAGTAATCCCCATTGGCTATGCAATTTTCCATCCTTTTTTAGTCACGCTTCCATGCACTGCTGGATGGATGCTCTCAGTTCCGTCGTTAGTACTATTGATGGTACCCCCTGCCGGGTCCCCTTGATGGTCCTCTTGAGTTTGTGGGGGGGGGAAGCACACGGAGTAAGATCTGGTGAATAAAGAGATTGCTCCAGTACCGCGATGTTCTTCTCGTCCAGGATCTGTCGGATGCTCAGGGTATTGTGAGCAGGTGCATTGTCATGGTAAAGTAACCGCTGTTTGTCCTGCTACAACACTCGTCTTTTCTCGCGCATTGAGGTAAGCAAACGCCAAGATTACAGTTATATAACCCCAAGATATCACGTTAGATCATAACACAATCTGCTTATCCCTCTTTCGCCCATAACTCTCAAAGCACACCCAGTCACGTTACTTTTCAGACAGATCTCGCACACACACACACACTATATATATATATATATATATATATATATATATATATATATATATATATAATTGATTTTACCCCAGGCCAATGAGACAATGGTTACTGGGTGTGGAAGAGTTTGAAACAAAAACATTGCTAAAGAGCAAAAATAAAAGAGTAATCTGGAGGACAGTAGATAGCGATTGACATTGCATTTAAATTTCTGAAGATTAAAGTTGGCCGGAAAACATGGGGCTGGAAGGGAGTTTCACAAGCATGAAATATGAGAAAAGAAACTGTTTGCATAGAATTTACGGTCGGTTACATCTAGCCAAATCAACTGGAAATTGGTGAGACCTCGACACCAGCCTAGCGGTGTGATTAAATTCAAAGAGTCTAGTTCTATATGCTGATATATAGAAAAGCCACAGGGAAGCAACCTTGCGGCGGTGGGAAAGAGACTGAAGTCGAGACGCTAGAACAGGGCTAATAATATTGCTGATTCTTCTTTCGAGCTCTAGGTAAATACAGGAGCACCGGATCAAATATGGCAGCAATATTCTAAGCATGCACGAATAGTGGACTTATAGATACGTAAGATAGATTCTTTCATTCTGTAAGCCTTCTTTTATGTCAAACGAGTTAAAGGAGTTATCTGTATTTTCAATATTTTGTGTTTAAAGGAGGAAAAGATTCGATTGGACTGTTGTCTTGAGATTTAAAACAACAAAAAAAAAAAAACTTTTCACAACTGTAATATTCTTTTCCTGTGATAATAAAGCTTATATTAAATAAGCGACACTTTCTGCATCAATTTGGATGCAAATAAATGCCAACAGAAATTAAATTAATTTTGATATTTTATCCTACTCGTTCTTGCGGGAAATATTCTATTCAACGAACGTATCTGAAAAAACATTAGAAAGTTCAATTGTCTTTCAAAGCGGTACTTAATATTACACTATTTCACCTTATTCGACGTTCATACAGGTCTGTGCCGTCGAATAGATACTATAGTAGAAATGACGAATATCATCCTGTGAGACATTATTCCACATTTTTGGCACTTGTTTTGTTTTTCATTTAAAAAAATTAAAAACAAAAAAATTAAATTAAAAATTTTCATTGTCCCCTCCCCTTTATGTGCATTTGTAGTCGGATCAACGTAAACATCATTTTAGTCCGATGACACTATGGCTCCCTGCGTTCTAGTGGCATTATAACCTTTCTTGGGGATGAAACAATTTTAAAATAAAGTCCTGGGGGTGGGGGACGATGTGTGTCGCATGCTAACTTTTTCTACTTTGTTATAGATTTCCCTAAAATTGTTCTTTATATATAAAAATTTATATATCCATTTCCCATATATACGTAAAAGATTTTATTATGCGCGGCAATATTTTCACAATAAAATTGGTATTAACCTACTGAGGCTAGTAAATTTTTCAGTATGTACTTATATGAGCAATAAATCGTATGAATGTTAGCGTCTAATATATATATCATTATTACAAATATATATTTTAGCTTCTAATATAAATCCTTGTTAAAAATATTGCTCATAAATTGCTTTTGGGGACGTCAGGTTTTATTATGAAAATGGAACAAATTTTTCTTTATAAATAATAAGATAGAAACGTGTATTTGATTGGCATAATATACTTTATAATGGAATAAACCCTGACACCTCGAGGTGGTGTAATGGTTTGCAAGCTTATCTCGCTAGAATAATTACGGCTGAGTAGTGAGTTCGAATCTCATGTGGGTGCCCTCTCTTAATTTCGGCCTTGTGTCACGTCTAAGCTATGCTTGGAAAATAACTATAATTAAAAAAAATATTATTTTATACTAGAAATACCAGTAAAAATTTAATGGTTTTCCTATTTTAATTTTCTGATGAATCTTAATTTAATGATTTAATAAGCTTCCTGTAATTGCCACTGTTATAAAATAATCGTGGAAATTCCTCTGTTGCCTCAGTAAATATTTGAGCTTAACAACTTTAACTAAATATTGCAATAACAACCAATAATATTAATGTAGGTCATTATTTATAGAAGTTAGAGGGTACAAATAAAAGTATGCTGACGACATAGGCATTCATGGAATAAGAATGATCTTTAACAAAAAATCAACATTCTCTACCAAGTGTTATAAGGAACAGAACAAAATAAACCTTTCAAAGCAAATCTGGAATTGGAATGAAAACAGTGATGTCACCTACTCTGAATCCATCGTAAAATTCAGGATGTGGAATTAGTAAGTATTAAACACTTTAAATACTTCGGTGTATGGATTAGTTTTAACAAGCTTAGAGTAGGGAGATAGGAACATTGAACGTAGAAGAGAGTGTGCCGGAGGTAGTTGCGTCCAATACCGCAAATTGCTACAAAAGCAAAAGGTTAACCTGAAAAATCGAGTCATGTCCTTAAATAGGCTCGTCAAATAGAGATTTTCACATGGATGCCATGCATGACGCCAAACCCGTTCGGAGAAATCTTAACTGTCAGCTGTATACAACCGCTTTGGTTAAAAGTGACTTTGAGCGAATGACGACTGTAGCTCTTAGCGAAGACCATTCTTCTTCGAATCTTGAAATGGTTCTACAGAACTACAAAGAACCGTATCAAATAAGAGAACCACATCACTTGAGGACCTTCAACAGCGGCGACAACTAAAAATGGGTAGCACATGTAACTCGAAGAGAAAATAATGACATAATCATGATATTGTCGTTCCACACAACTTCAAAAAAATAAATAAATAAATAAATAAATGAATAAAATAAATAAATAAAAGAACGCCCCCATCACCCATCAATACTGGAAAGAGCAATAAACAGATACTGCATTTGAGAAATCTATTTTCCCCCAAAATTGTTTTGTTTTATAAATTTTAACCGAAAATAGTACTTGTTCTTCAGTCAATGAATGTTTCCTTATGAGGAAACGGCAAATATTACCTTTGCTATTACCCCACATAACAATTTGAAAGTACTTGAATATATTTAGGATTAATGTATTAGAAGACTGAGCCGTGCAAGACTGCTTGCTTTGAAAATCGTGATCAGAAATTCTAGTTTCTCCATCATTAGCATTTCAGTAAATAGAAAAGGATCAAAACAGACAGTAAGGCACAAAAACATATAGAGATGTGAACAGAGTATTATGGATAAGAATCAACTGAACGAAATGGACTGACAGAGGGAAATAGTTTAAGATATATAGATTTAGAATAGGAGACTAAGATAAATTAAGAGCCATTGATCGTAGAAATTGATGAGTAGGAATAAATTAAAAAAAAAAACGCTTGAGAATAATATACAGAAGTCAATAGATAGATAGATAGATAGATAGATAGGAAAAGACAGGTTGAGTAAAATAGATAGACTGAGATGAATATGGACAGATATCTAGAGAAGTATGAACTGGTTTTAGGGAGAAGGAATCGAGAAAGTAAAATCCTATCGGTAATGAGCCGGTAAGTCGATCGTATATATATATATATATATATATATATATATATATATATATATATATATATATATATATATATATATATATATATATATATATATATATATATATATATCGACGTATTGACGTATGAGGAAGCAGCCAGACACCTTATAGTAGTTAAGGCTTTGTGCAGAAACAACCACACTTTGAGGAGCCGAATACAGAGATTTGGTGCCAAACGACCCTCTGCAGATTTTAAAATCAGAGTTTTCCTTCTCCTAGACCAAGATCCAATCCAGTCCGTACTGCTATTTTACCCATAGCTGGAGGGAGAAGAAGAGGATTAATCCCAAGAATATTAGCACATAAGTGAATGGAATGGATTCGACTGGAATTCGAACTCGGCTCTCCAATTCCTCAATCTGAGCCGCTATCCATTACTGTACTATGCATGCATGCATGCATGTATGTATGTATCTATCTATCTATCTATCTATCTATCTATATATATATATATATATATATATATATATATATATATATATATATATATATATATATATATATATATATATAGAGAGAGAGAGAGAGAGAGAGATAGATAGATAGATATGACAACATTGAGACATGCATGAAATAAACCTACATATGACTACGAATATTTGGTTTGTGTTCGAAGTACATGACTAATCGTTGTTGGCTTGGCAAAGCGAGGGGCTGATATACCTACACACATTTATTTCTGCTAAGAGAGCACTCGATTGTTGTACTTGGATATAAAATAGCAATCATGAAGTTGTACAAAGATAGTATGAACAAACATGTTTACAGAAACTTGAAGAAATTGTTTACTGTCTTGCAATATGTAGAACACCGTGCGTACAAATGAATAAATTCACTTTTATTTTTAAAGTATTTAATTTCTGGTGACTAAATTTGGTCATTTTTGTTTTTATATAATTCGCTTGATTTTTTTTTTTTTAATTATAGAAATACATTAGAGGAGCCGTCTATTTTTCTCATTTTCTTTTTCCTGGTGTTCTTTACTGCAAGTGTTATTTTGAACTAGAACTACTAGTAGTCACTATGTTGAATGAAACGTGTTGCTAGATACCTCTTCCATGTGCACTGAAGTGTGTGTCCGTGGCTAGAAGGTCAACTACTGAGGTCATGGATATTAAACGAAACACTTATAAAACAAAGAGGTCTATTGTACCGTGCGTGTTTAAAGATCAAAATAAATCATTGCATGTGATTGGTTCGAAAAGATTTTAGAATACAAAGTACACCTGAGGAAAACAAGAACGAATACGACCAAAACATTTTGAAAAAAAGACAAGGAATTTAGTCATAGCGAACTATTTACAACGATTAAAATATCTCAAAAGAATCGTTTAAACGTAGAGGGATACATGTATAAACATACAACTATATTCTCAAATGGTAACAGTGCTTGTGTACAATTAGATTCTTCTACTGTGGGAAGCGCTTTTAATTCAATGTTTTGAATTATTTCTGTTTTCTGCATGGTGCCAGTGCTCTTTGCTATATATTGTCCCTGCCGTTTGTTTGCCCATTTTAACCTAATAGCTGCTTGGTTACTAATAATGAATAAATATATAATAAAATATAATCGCATATAGATAGATAGATAGATAGACAGATCTGCTGATTTTTTATAGTTAAAACATCCACATGTTGTTTTTTTTCTCACGTGTATTGAGCACTTTTTAATACTACTGTTCCCTGGTCTAATACAACTCTGACCATTAACCTTTATGTAATAGATAGATAGATAGATAGATAGATAGATAGATAGATATGAACAGACTGATATATACATGCATACATATATGTATATATATTGATAGATAGGTAGCTAGATATATAGATATGAACAGACTGAGCTAGCTAGCTAGATAGATAGATATAAACAAACTGAGATAGCTAGATAGATAGATATATATGAACAGACTGAGATAGCTAGCTAGCTAGCTAGCTAGCTAGCTAGATAGATAGATAGATAAATACGAACAGACCGAGAAAGATAGATAGATAGATAGATAGATATGAACAAATTGAGAAAGAAAGATAGATATGAACATTGATATAGATAGATATGAACAAACTGAGATAGATGGATAGATAGGTGGATATGAACAGATTGAGATTGATACATATGGACAGACTGAAAAATAGATAGATAGATAGATAGATAGATAGATATGATAAATATGCAAATAAAAGAGAACATGGGTTTTGAAATGAAAGAGCTGAGAAATGGTGACAAAACATTACATAACAGTAAAACCCATATGAGAAAAAGACGTGAGTATTGCATACTTATGCTGCGTATCTTTTCACTCATACTGCGCCTGTCGGATAGACGCAAAAAACTACAATCTGCAATCAGTATATAATAACTTTGCTTACCTCATACTTATCCATAAAAATTCGCATTTTGAAAAGAGAAATTAAACTCGGAAATGAATCAATTTATATATGGCGATAAACGAGGCTTTCTTTCGGGTGACTGTAGGGTAACGCGACTGAGAGAGAGAGAGAGAGAGAGAGAGAGAGACATTCGCTGTCATATGTATCGTGCGACTGATGGTTGCACTGTTGTTTGGTGTTCGAATACAGGTTATGACCGTCTTTACTTGGGCTCATCAGTGAGCAACTCTAGTTCATTATTACTCCTGGGTAATGAGTTCGATTCTAATTGGGTGCACCATATATGCGGCCTTGTGCCAGAATTAAGTTAAACTTAATAAATAACAACAAAACCCGCCTTTACTGTTTAGAATGATAAATGTAGTTATGTCCAAAAATTTGCTAAAACAAGAGCATACCCTGATGAAAAAAAGCTCCAAGCTTGATTTTAAAAAAATTTGTAATGTCTAAATGTTTATGTTATTATTAAGAGGAATGGCCAAAGTATTTTTTGAGTATTTTTAAAAAAATGTTTTTCATTTTTTCTAGCACGTCCGAAAATTTAGCTATAAATCTCGTTTATTTTGAGTCAGCAAAATTGACGTAAAATCAATCATGTGACCCATTATTAACAGTTTTGTAAACAAAAATTAAATTTTCCGTTTAAAAATCTTGTAAAATTCAATTATACTTTTTTTTCAAAAGTTATTTTAGGAGAATTAGAAAATTTAAAGTATACTTAATGTAATTTGAAAGAAACATTTACTTTTTTAGCAGAAAAAATGTTTAGAGAGAAATGTCCAACCGTGGTAATTGTTTTTTTGGGAGGTATGAATTGACATATGTCAACATACCGAAAACTTACGTAAGGGAAATTTATCAGATGGTAGAACAGAAGTGACAAAATTTGTCCTAAAAGTGAATCGGGTTAGTAGATTTAAATAAAAAAATACAATTTCAATTTTATAACTTTTTTTTTAATTTAGAATTGAAAAAAAAGAAAACAATTGTAAAAATTCATTTTTCAACTGAAAAAAATTTTGGCTTCAGTCAAAAACGTCCTGAATATATATTATTCAGAAAAGTCATTGAAAGCTTTTTTTTTAATTAATGTCTTAGTTTTATTGAGTTTTGTATTTTACAATTCAGAGCTAAAGTTTTGGTTGTTGCATGTAAAATTTTCTAAAAGAAATTGATGATTTATATTTTTCAAAGTATTCTTCATTTAATTAAAAAAATTACGGAGTTACACACTAGTTTTAAAGTTTTCATAAAATTAAGTAAGAGGAGTAAAAGATGTAAAAAAATATATGTTTACCAAGACTTTTTAAAAAAACAAACATTTCTAAAATAAATTCATTCCTTTTTGAATAATTTCTGAAAGTTTCATTAAATTCCGACAATTATTTGATTTTTGCAAAGATTTCCAAATTAATGTGTTTTTCAACTGAAAAAGGTACTAGAAAACCTCATGCTAAATATTAGGTGACCTCTAACCTAAAAAAAAACCCAAGATTTTCAACCAAAATTACAAAGGTGCTAAAAATGAATAAAAATTTTAAAAAAATAATTTAAAAATTACTTTGGTCTCTCCTCTAATTAATAACATAAAGTTTTTCGCGATAAAACTTTGTTTTTAAGTTTGGAGACTTTTTTATCAGGCTATGCCAATATTTTAGCGAAAAAGTGGGTATACCTACAGCGTAAAGACTATTCATTACCAGTGAGATTTTCCTATTGATATCGTCAAACCTATAAGTAGTTTTACGGCCTATCAGTGCTTTGTGGGTTATTTTTAAAACTGTTATAAATTCGTATACAGATCGTAGTTCTGGTTGATAATACTGCAAGCAAACACTGAAACAGGAACATGGATTAATAATAGAGTAACAGAGAATACCGTAGTTCAGTACGACAATGCGTATGACACAACGCCACGCATTGTGACGACCGTTTCTATGAGCAAACGTTCTATTCATAGCGGATGGACGAGTTCATGTTCAAGAATTAGTGTAGAGAAGGTTGGTCGTGTTTCCACACACACACACACACACACACACACACACACACACACACACACACACACACACACAAACGAAATATATTTTGGATTGCGAGAATAATATTATAATGCAATATAATAATAATATGATGCAATTGAATATTGCTTTAATAACATTTTCGAGATAAAAACGATTTTACAGATGTAAATCTTATTATTTAACCCATAGCTTGTGGGGAGAAGAGATAGATTCATACCTTCTCCCAAGATTATTTGCCCGTAAGTGAATGTAACGAACTCAAATTCGGATGTACACCCACCCACCCACGAGCCGTTATTCATTACCTCATTCGCATATCCGGACCCATAAGTACATTCTTGAGCGTTAATGATTCTCAAAAAATTATCCTCCAGATTACAGTAAAAAGTTCAAATTTTGTGACAAAATTATCACTCAACTACCCCTAAAGTCACCTGACTCACAAGTCTAAATTTTCTTTTGCTATTTCAGTACGGAATACGAATTGCTAAATAACATGGTTTTAACTATGGCATTCTATATACAGTTATTTTCCTAGAAATTGACTTTTTCTTTATAGGTGGGCTATTTCAATGTCGAGAAAGCTGCTTCATATTAAAGTAAAAGCACGTGTTAAGATAAAGGTTTAAACGTTGATTCGATTATTTATTTAATCGAGAGAAAGAAATCTGTTACTGGGTTCTAATCTTTCAATAGCAACATGCAAAAGGAAGTTTATAGATAACAACAAATTCACAAACTCACATATACAATACATTTATGAAACGTTTAGACCCTGTAATTACGTGCACAAGCGTTCAAATATGACACATACACACTTGCAAAAGAAAATATAAAAATGCACATGCGCATATATCTTTAAAACGACTGGAGGAGTTTAGATTTAACCTCTTACCTACAGATACATGTGTACTACTCCAGTACACATGAAATAGTATCTACCATTAATAACTGATAGAAACACCCCGACCCCATTTCATTCATTACAGTGACTATCCCTTAATTCGAGACAACATACTGTTGCTATAATCAAAGGAAAGAAAATATGTTTGTACTTAAATTTTCTAGATGAAATTAAACCTAAAAATAAACGGTAAATTTTTATCACAAAAGAAATCAATATATAAGCGGTTAAGAAGTAGCATTTAATCTACTTGATAAAACATATTTGCCAAAAAGACTGCCAGAATATCAAGTTAAATAGTCAATCTTATTTCATTCCAATTCCCACTGTTGTGAGCCATCAAGCTTTTCGGTTCTTAAATCATCTTGGAATCATCTTTCTGTTTACAATAAGTATGAACACATTGGATAAATTTGGCCATTTTTTTCCTATTATTCATCAACAATATTAACAAATCAGTCAATAATATAAAATGATAGACAAAAGTTGTAGAGGAAGAATAGAGCTACAAAAACCATGAAACACTTTGGTAAAAATATTTTGCATTTTAATTCAAATAACATTGGAAAAAAATAATCTGACAGTACATTTATTAAGATTATTGCTCTCATCTTTGGTCTTTATACAGAATGATTGAAAAGCAATTCCCTATTTTATGTATGCGTGGCCCACCAGGAGTCCTGACTTAATACGCTGTGACTTTTGGGTTGGTTAAAGGAGCACGTCTACCATACCAAACCAAGACTCTGGAAGGACGAATACAAGAAGTCATATCTTTCATGCCACAAAAGTTCCTGGTAAAATCAGCTGACGCGATTCATATGTGGCTCGAAAAGCTGGTAGCGAAATCTGGTGCCCATATCGAATTTTAAATAAAACCTCATGCTAAAAGCTTTCTTCTCATATCCATTTCTTATAAAAATTATAGTTAATAAATAAAGTATAACTACTTTAAAATGGAGAATTACTTTTCAATCATCCTGTATATGTTAATATAAACACAATGTTTCAGCCAATTGGCACCTGACCATCTTCAGAACTCCATGATTTTTGCCGTTTCTTTTTCATTTCTACTGAACCACAGGTATATGGATTTCAGAACATCATCCAAGGATTGAAATTACGACGATCAGGTGACCGCAAGATAAATGTTGTTTGATCTGAAATGTAATCTATTTCACGGTTTCATAAATTATTCGAACGAGTAACCTTAACTTTATTGTTTCGTCCATGGTATACGTGATAAAGATGAACTGGTTCCTGTAATTCATGGAATAATGACGCTAGTGGGGATTTATAACTTACAACTATTTAAAGAATGAAAAAATGGGAGAACTATTACTTTTTTCAGTATCTGGCTAAAATCAAAATACAGTATGCATTTTTTTACAATCATATTGACCAAATTCCTTGTTGGTTTTGATAGAAAATACCTACATATATACAACCTTAGTGTATAGTTTTGCAAAACATTATCACCACTTATTGGTATGATCACTATTCTTCTTCTTCCGTGTGCAGTGTCCCTTTAAGACATAGGTGATCATGGTGCTCCTCAACTTCCTGTCCTTTGTCCTTTGTAGCTCTTAGTAAAGTTAGTCTTTTTGTTATCTCTCCTAATCCCTGTTCTGCCAACCATTTACGCAAGCTAGTTATGTAGGTTATCCGCTGCTTTACTTTGTCCTTCTTGCTTTCAATATGTCTTGTGAGTGTCAAATTCTCTAAGTTCCCTTTTCTCATTATTGTGCATTCGAAATTTCAAATGACTCTTTCTGGTTCTAAGTGAAAGTGTCCTTTTTGTTTCCATTTTCCCTAAAACGCCCTCGTTACTCAGATGTTCAAACAATGGTATACTCAGCATCCTTCTGTAGAACCATATTTCTGTTACCTAAAGTCTCTTCTTCATCTGTTAGCAGATTGTCCAGCATTCACTGCCATATGAGAGGGCCGATATTACATTACGTTCAGTACTCTTTGTTTATAACGAAATTTTCATGGAAATAATCTTAAAACCTTATTTGAAATTCTTTTCTGAATTTTGATAGCCGCAGTGTTTTAATCATCGAATGTGAAATGATTAGGGTTAAATTTCCCGTCTTAAAAATAATTGCTGATTTCTTCAGGTGTCATCTGTTTTCTGGAATGTTTTCTAACCAACGTCGTACAATGACCTTTTTAAAATCTTTAAAATAAGTACAGAAGTCCCACATATCTATAGTTTTGATTTCTAATGTCCCTCTTAACCAAGGTTAACCGTAGAAATATTCAGTCAGTCGGTTA